TTGCAGCTGAATGTTAAGCGGAAGTGGCTTCCTAAATCATTGCAGAATATATCAGAATAGCAGTGGAAGATGTATGAAAAATCTTTCAGGGGGAAAATCTGTTTCCCTTTTTCTGCCTTTTTTTTTCATTTGACCAAGTTAGGTAGAGTTAAGTAATGCAACAATTCTCCAAAACAAATGAAAAAGAAAATCAGACTTAATGCTAGTTAAAAATGAGGTAGAGAAGCAAGCAAAAGCATATATCTATTTTCTCAAGTAACCTCCCAAGCTCCCTGAAAATCAATTCATGAATTTTATATAGTCCTCTTGGAGACAAGTGTCTGGAACTCTCCCTCATCCAAATGGTTAAAATTGAGTAATATAAGCATGGGAGACTGGAAGTTTTTGACCCTCGGCAAATTACAGGATTTCCAGAAAACAACATCCCCTCAAGCCACTTCCTTTAAAACTCTTCCCCATAAAACCCAATTTTCAAGTACTGGTAGCTAACTTCTCCATGCCTCAGCCTCAGGAGTTTTACTGAAACAATCAACAAGCAAGCAAAAGCTTATCATTAAGATTCTTTTACCTTTTCTCTTGCTGGAGAGTTGGCCTTACGTCAAGAGTTTCACCTGTTGAAATGCTACCATGACTGTTCAGTTGCCTGGAAATATCTCTGAGTGATGATAGGAGTCACTTTTTCCCTTTGGGCGCTAATTTTACTTTTGCAATCTGTGAAATTGCCCGGAGCGGTGAAAAAGAATAAAATAGAAGCTCTGAAGAAGCCCGACCTGTCTGTCCAGCCAGCCCAGATCTCAAGAAGAAAGGAAGTTGGTTGGTGTTTTGTTTTTTTAAACCAAAAGTTTATCTAAAAAGACAGGCAGGGCACACCCTTTTTAACTTAATAAAAAGTATCTATGCTTTGCAAATTTCTGTTCTTGAGGTAGCCTCTAGGCAGGCTCCAATTTTATAAGGTTAGCTTCTTGCATAGCTTGGATATAACACAGCAAGTGATGGTGGCACATACCAAGAATGGTATATCCTTAGGCAAAAACTGAATTTACTTGCTGGAATGTCTTTCAGGAAGAGAATATTAGTCAAGCACATCTAAAAAGGACCAGAGGAGGAAAAAGGATTGTTGCATGCTGCCATCCTATATTTCTGTATTTAATTAAACATATAACTTTGCTACGTATTTCTCTGGTATACTGAAACGGGAGATTGCTTTCTCTCATTAGTACTAGACAGAATCTATTTCATCAAGTCTACTGCGTACTCGCTGTAACTTCTGGATTCTGGCGAAAGCAAGTACAGGTAATCCTCAGATTATGAGCACTACGGAGCCCAAAATTTCTGTTGCTAAGTGAGACATTTGTTAAGTGAAAATTGCCCCATTTTACGATCATTTTTGCTGCAGTTGTTAAGTTAATCACTGCAGTTACTAAGTTCTTAAGCGAATCTGACTTTTCCATTGATTTTGTTTATCAGAAGTTGCAAAGGTGATCACATGACCCCAGGATACTGCAACCGGCATAAATATGAACCAGTTATCACACACCTGAATTTTTATCACATGACCCTCAGATCAGAGGTGGGTTCCTACCAGTTCGCACCTATTCGGTAGAACCGGTTCGTCAAATCTACCAAACCAGTTAGAAGAGGTTCTACCAGTGGACCCGGAAAGCAGGCCACACCTACAGAAGAGGTTCCAAATTTTTTTGAAACCCACCACTGCTAAAGGGTTATGGGTGCAAGGATCTTGTAACTTGACAGCTTTAAGACTTGCATGCTTTAATGCCAGAGTTCCTGAGCCAATGTGACTGGAGGAGGAATTCTGGGAGTTGAAGTCCACAAGTCTTAAAGCTGTCAGGTTTGAAGACCCCTAGTTTTCTTTCCTAAAGGGTTAGGGGTGCAAGGGTCTTGTAACTTGACAGCTTTAAGACCTGCGTGCTTCAATGCCAGAGTTTCTGAACAGCTACTTGGACTGACCTGAGTACTAATTCATAATTTCATATCCAGTCACATGGGCAGCAAGCCACTCCCATCTGGTCACATGGGTGGCAAGCCACTCCCACAAGGGAGGCCACACCCACTCATGTTAAAGATCACCGAGGGATACAAACTCCATTTATTTAACTAACTTTCCTAAACCAGTAGCATTGGTTGTATCTTATCAGAAATCAACATAAGTATTTGAGGGTGGGAAAAATTATCTTGGAGAAGGTTCCTCCTCCTTTTCATAATCAAAGTTATTGAGTAACCTCAAGTTTCAGGTGACGAGGCATCTGAGGAAGTTGCTTTCTTCTTAGCACATCAAGTTTTATCAAACCCGGTGGATCTGAGCCACCACCTTATAATGGCCCAGAATCCTATTCCTACATAAATATTTTGGCAAAACCTATCAAAAGGCAAGAATTCTAAATGGTTTGTTCTTAATGCTTTTCCAAATTGAAGAGGCGCACATGCTTAATCATGTCGCTTCTTCCGCGCTTATGTCCGAAACCAATGATACTCATTCCAAGTATACTAACATTATCTAGTTCACTCTTTTTTATTATAATCTCGCGTGTAGATTTTTATGAGCTTCCTCTTTTGCTATCACGCTCTCTGCTCGCTTGATTCAGAGCATCATTACTGTGGATGATTCTGGGCATCAGATATCTAAATGGCCACTGACAGCATAAAAACAGGTTCAGGAGAGGGTGACAATGATGAAAAATGGATTTGAGAATGTGCTCTACCAAGTTAAACTATAGGAACTGGAAATGTTGACTTTGGACAAAAGAAGAATGAGGGGGAAGGGTACAAAGGTGACCAGGAAGTATTTTCTGTTGCCACAGAAACCAGGATCAGAAAGGATGGGTATGTATGCAACTATTGTAGCTAGATTTTGTTTCAACATAAGCAAAAAACTTCCTGATTGTGAAATCTGTCCAACTGTGAAATAATTTACTCGCATAGATATTGCAATGGTTTTAAAATATCTTGAAAATCACCCGTCTTTTTGACCTCCTCCAATTCTATGATTTTGAGAGTCTTCAACTCCCCGAAGAATTCTTTTCACGCTGGCAACCACTTTGGTAACCTTAAAGCATGTCTAACTGCCTAGTCCTTTGACAGTTGCTTTGGAAACTATTGGTAAACTTACTTTCCTCTGGGCTTTAAAAATTGAAATAGGTTTACCAATTCACAGGATTAAGGCCATAATTCATAAGATTAGGGGCATTTTAACAAAGAGCTTTCCAACAAATTCCATTCCATTTCTCTATGCATGTTTTGAAAGAAAATATTTCTCGCGATTTATTTATTAGGGTAGAATTTGTTACGAAGTAACTAATCATTTGATCTGTATCCAGATAATTATGTCTTTTGGGGGGGGGGGTTCATGGTTGTGAATAAATGGGGAATAAAATCCCTGGGGGTTGGGGGAATACAGTCATACAATTGCAAGATTTTGCAGAATAGTTATCTGTGGTTTGGGGAAGCAGTAACCGAAACAACTTTCACTTGGACTATGGTTCAAAAAGAAAAAAAAACTGTCAACCAGTCTTACCACTTTAGAAAACTTATCAATGCCAGTTTAGAAATCAAATCTCAGCTGGTTGAGCATTGCTGTCATCAACTAATAACTGCTTCTCAGAATGTCAAACATATGTTCCAGCTATCTCAATATTTCATGCCTTATCATTTGCTAACTAATTAAGGTTTGGCCCTTGCTGTTGAAAAATGAAAGAGCCAGATATTTTTGAACAATGGACCCACAAAGGAGTGTCTGCCTTTTTAGGGAGACTGTGTTTAAAAGATGTCATGGAAAGGAACAAGTTTTACCAGACAAGACGGAAGCTGACCTAAAAGTGGATTTTAAAATCTTAGGCTACAAGAATGATATGACAAAAATATATTTATGCTAAATATATAGATGAAACTGGTTGATGTCTTAATAATTAAAAGGGACACAAGGTTGACTCAGCCTTCCAGCCTTCTGAGGTGGGTAAAATGAGGACCCAGATTGTTGGGGGGCCAATATGCTGACTCTGTAAACCGCTTAGAGAGGGATGTAAAAGCCCTGTGAAGCGGTATATGTCTATTGCTATTGCTACGTACACATAACAAAACAAATTATATAGCGAGCTAGATAATTTAGCTAAATTGGATTTACAAGCATGGCTACTTTGCTAAGGAGCAAAGAAAAGAAATCAAGTTCTAGGGAAACTTGATTTGAAGGGATTAAAGTTCAAGATTGTTAAAAAAGCATATCAAATTGGTTGATTCGATCAAGGTCAATAACAGCGTTATCTCTGGTAACCGTTAATGAACCTTTGCTGATTATGACTGTCCCTACTAAAAGTATTTATACTCCCCCAGAGATCCGGACCCTCCCCACTCTCGCGGCCTTCCGAAAGGCTACTAAAACCTGGCTATTCCGGCAGGCCTGGGGCTGTTGACCTCATGAATGAGGTCCAGCTCCACCTAGATTGAGTGTATGATGTGTTTCTTTTAACCTGCTTTTCTTCTTTATTTTTAAAGTTTTTAGTCTTTTAGAGATGTATTGCTGTAAGCCGCCCGGAGTCCTTCGGGATTGGGCGGCATATAAATTCATTAAATTTGAATTTGATACTATTTGTGAAGAAAGAGAAAGTCACTTTCTCCCCCTTTACCGTAATCTTTTCCCGCTTTTCTCTGCACCTTCTATCCCACCCCCCCTAAGAGCCAAGGTGGCGCAGTGGTTAAATGCAGCACTGCAGGCTACTGCTAGATCAGCAGTTCAGCGGTTCAAATCTCACCGGCTCAGGGTTGACTCAGCCTTCCATCCTTCCGAGGTGGGTAAAATGAGGACCCAGATTGTTGGGGGTGATATGCTGACTCTGTAAACCGCTTAGAGAGGGTTGAAAGCCCTATGAAGCGGTATATAAGTCTAACTGCTATTGCTATTGCTATAATTTGCACTAGTTTTTATCTCTTCAATTGCCATGTTTAATAAAATTACTACATAGAAACGAAAGAGCCGGAGACTCGTATCTACCTGGAATCCGATTGAGCGTTACCCAAAAATGTTCATCGGGACTGTAAGTGTCTTTGGACCATTGGAGCAAATCAATGGCCCTGGAGTCATTGAAGAGGAACTCCACAAAGGGCCTCGTGAGAGCAATATAGGCAGACCCGAAGTAGATAGTGAGGTTGTGGGGAGGTGGCGGTTTGGGGGTCCCAGTCCTTTGCATGTAGGAAGCTTGCTTGCCTATGTGCTCCTTGTATACAAATCTGGTCCTTGAAGTTATGGGGGGTGGAGGGAGGATGCCAGGGGTGATATTCTTCCCTTTGAACTTTTTCAGGTGCTGGACAATCTCCTTGTTGGTTTTGAGTGGGAAATCTTGGCCACACATGTTGAGGACGTATTTCCAGCCGGGGTATCTCAGCAGGTCCTGCATGCAGTTCAAATCAGCCTGAAGCCTGGAGATGCCAGCGTAAACCACAGGCTCCGCTTTGGAAACCAGGAAGGCATTGGGGAAGCACTCCAATATTTTCTCCACTTCTTGCTTGTACTTGGATGGCACTTTCTCATCCACGTGGATGCAGTAGATATTGTGGGGGGCGTAAACAGCCCTGAAGAGCCGCTCGAAGGTGCCCAGTTCTTTGTGGAGGGTGAAGACGTAAGCCAAGGGAAAAGCCGCCGCTTCGGCAGAGACGACCCGGGTCACATAGTGACTCCCCGTCACGTAGTCTTGGCAGGAAGCGGCTCTGCCCAAGGACGTCCGGAGAGAGTTTCCCCACACCAAGGTTTTCTGCCCCCGAGCCAGAGCCCCGCAGGCGCGCCGGAGGAAATGGCTCTCCTGGAGACGAGGCAGGCGGGGAAACCGAGGCGGCGGCGGCGTGTGTTTGGAAACCGGCGGAGGTTGCCCGAGGAACAGGAGCAGGAGCGCCGAAAGACCGCTCAGCCCGAAGACCGCGAAGACGTAAGGAGGAGGCTTCCCAGACCGCATAGTCTCTCCCCGGGACGGGCCACGAGCCCCGGTGGAAGAGACGGACCTAAAGCCCCGAGCGGCCGAGGGTCCTTCCGCGGACGCCCAAGCGATGCATTCAGCCCACCAGGTGCTCGCGACTCGGTTTTCCAAAGCTCGCCTTCTTTTACGGTGATGGTGATTTTGCTCAGCCGGTTGCTCAGCCAAGCGCTCCGGCCGGGCTCAGAGCGCGCGGCGCCGGGGATCCAAGGCTACCTAACAGCGTCCCGCATCTGCGTCTCTTCCGAGGCTGCCCTTCTCCAGACCTCGGCCGTTTTCCCTGGAAAGCCACGCCCCTGGGAAAAAAGAGGACCTCATTTGCATATCCAAAGGGACGCCGATTGGCTGGGGCCGGCGCGCCCCGCTTTTCCACCGAACGGGGCGGGGTCGGAGGCGGGGTCAGCAGGTAGAGCGATCCCACGGCCGTTTCTCGCCACAGGTTGGACCTCAGCTCCGTTGAGGCCGTTGCGCTGCTGAAGCTGGCCTTTTTGGCTTCCCGCCCAGACGGGGGGGGGGGGAATTTCAGTCTCGAACCAGTCCAGCTTTGTCTTTGAACTAGTTCAAAGAACGTCTGAATGGACCAGTGGTGGGTTTCAAATTTTTTTTAGAACCTCTTCTGTAGGTGTGGCCTGCTTTGTGGGAGTGGCTTG